TATATATATTGTATATTGTATGTTTATCAGTATCAGTTCTTGGATGTATAGTATTATCAGTGTTATTTGTTTCAATGCACTTTTGCCTTAATTTTTAATTTTTCAAATACATTTTATATGGCTTGTGCTAATAAATTATTATAAATGTAAATATACATGTTATAGTATTATATAAGTTATATAAGATATAAACTTTATATCTCTGGATAAAGCAGAACACAAAGGAACTTACGTTTTAAGCTTTTGACTATCACTGTAGTCTTGTTCACAATGACACACGATGGAAAATTGTGTCATAGGGATTGTGAATGCCTGCCCCCCCCCCCCCCCCCCCCCCCCCCCCCATGCCTGCCCCCCCCCCCGCCACTCCTGAATGTTTGGAAGATTAAATATTTCACCATCTCCATTCAACATTGGGCTGTTGGCCCTGATGTAGATGGCTTCCTTGACCCCTCTGTCAAAACATCTTGGTTCCAGTTAGAAGTTTAGTCTCATTAAATTTGACGCTGTGATCCAGAAACTCAATGTTAATATGTTTTGAGACTTCCGACGAATCTGGATAAATGAATCTGCATCAGTCGACCTATAATATTTATATATGAATATCTCTTTATAATTATATGCTTATATACTACTAGTATTTCTTATAAGATTCCGTTTTGTTAGTTCCAAACACTTAAGACAAGAACGTATTAAGTTGATCCTTGAATTATTATAGTGTTGCTTTCAATTTAAGAATATTTAGTTTATTGTATCTTTGTTATTGAATAAATATATTATTACGTAGGCTTATACGTTTAGGTTTGTTTAAAGCAATAGTGTGTTTATTTTAAACATGTAATTATTTGGGTTTGTTTTGGTTTTTTTTTTAAATAAAAAGATAATGGTATTATATAATGATAATGATAATAATAATAATAATAATAATAATAATAATAATAAAATTAATAATAATAATAATAATAATAATAATAATATTAATAGCTACACTGTGGCTACTGTGTTTCCATTGCAATGGCTATAGAAGTAGACGAAACAATCGGTTGAGATTTTCTTCCAACGGATTGACAAAGACGTACCGTTATGAGTTTTAAAGCAAAATAAATATCAATTTGAATTTTCTAATAGTTAAATTAAAAAATTAAATGAGAAAACAGAGGAGGATCCAGTATGTTTCGTTAGGGGTATGTGTTGGATAATAGGGTGCTAAAAGTTATTATGGTTGGGCTGAGGTATAACATTTTAAAAAAAATGTGGCACTTTTATAGCTGGATGCTCTCTTATACCCTTCAAAGTGTCTTAGTTTGTATTATACAGAAGTTTTTATCACCATGGTTATCAGTCATCAAAGTAAATCTATGAAGTAAGATTGTTAAAATGTTATAAAATAAATCAAATTGGTTCTCCATACAGGGCTCAGATGCTACAAAAAGGTCAAATATAAGTTCAGTTTATCCTTATAAGGAAAGAGACCTTACCCTCCTCATGTTCAGAGTGCTTGGAAATATAGTGCGAACATGTTAAGAACATGTCACTCTGGATGCCCAGAAATGCTAGAATCTGCTCGAAATAATTTCCGTTCGAAGTAGCATTCGCCATCCGCTCGTATTTTGACGATTGAGACGCGCCGTTATACGATCTTTGGTGATACTACGTTTACGTTTACTTTAAAAACTCGAAAGGGGCCATTAGGCTCGAATCCCACCATTCACTTTTTTCATACAACTGAATACGTCCACACTAAGCTACAGACAAGAAGACAATCATTTGAGCTACGTCACATTAAGCTTGTGACAAATGTGATTTGCCTATATTGTATTCCGGGATTTCTTATTATTTTGTGCGTATGTTGCGCGCCATAAAATAGTAAGGCAAAGGTCAGTACGTACGTTAGCCTACAGTGTTTCTAAATTCGTAATTTATCACTCTGACTCCGTTTCATTCATTTATTTGTCTCCGGACAAATTTGACATTAGAAGACTCCGTGAGTTACTGCGTTTATTTGAATTTTAATGTTTTTAAAAACAGTTTATTAAGTTAACCTAGGCCTAGGCTAGGCCCAGGATAAGAAACGATGATCGGTCGGTGGAGAGGGCGTGTGAATGGGATGAAGAAGTATGGTGCGCCTCTCATGACTAATTATAGAGGCGATGTTTGGATTTTCGCAACATTAATTTAACCGTTCATTTGTTATCATCGTAGGCCATAATGTTAACGTCACAGCATACATTTTAGTTTTGCTTATTTGGCTTAATATAATTCAAGAGTTGTCCATTTGTTTTGTTGTAGACTTTACCGTGTTGTCCGGATTAATGGGGGGTATAACGACAATCATACCAATAGATGGTTATGATGTGACATCATCATGCTCAAGATGTGATGACAATATCATGCCCATACATTGGTATTATGTGACATCATAATGCTGATATATAAATGTGATCACAATACCATGCTAGGATGTGATACACCATCATGCCCATATATAGATGTGATATACCATCATGCCCATATGTGATGACAACATCATGCCCATATGTGATGACACCATCATGCCCATATATAGATGGGATATGATACCATCATGCCCATATATAGGCCTAGATGTGATATGACAACATCCATGTCCATGTCCATGATATCGTCATGCCGATGTATAAGCACCCATTTTTCACAAAATAATATTTACTGTAATGTACGGTACAGATTGCAGAAAAATGTTACAAAAAAAGTATATATTTGAGGTGAGGGATGCAACAGTTTATGGGCATGCCGAGCTGATAGCGAACAAAGGATAATTAGGGAAACTAACTAAGAGTGGCGGTTATTTTAATGTAAATTTATCTGCACATTTCCAGTAACGAGTGGGCGGTGCCGTACTTATGAAGTCAAACGTTTTTTTCAGGGGCTTGCACCGCCACACTTCTTGCGAATTATGACGTCACTAGGGATTGTTCACCTACAGCAACATCATATTTTACTTTACTTAGAAGCGACTCAAGAATTATATCAAGATTTTGCATTTATAATGTTTGTCAGTCATATTTCTTGTATTATTACAAAGCAGTTATTATACGAATGTTAGATTTAATAAACATTTATAGT